CAATATACTAGCTTTGTTTCAGATAAAGCATTATTAGACTTATGTTGTGAATGATGAATTTCTTGTATATGACTGCACCACTAGCCAGGTGCATGTGTGTATATGTATATTTGCCAAATCCTCTTCCAAAGAGCTGATGACAAATGCCCTTACTAAAAAGAGAGCTACTAGATGGCATTATGTGCTGTTTCTACAACCCACAGCACTGACAATGACAAAAGGGGCTGCCTTGTAACATACTGTTGACATGCATAGCAGCAAAATTATTGTTTATTTTGGAGCCATGAAACTATCTAGCAAAAAGAATAAGCTTCAGCAGAGGAAGTAATGAACAACCCCAGTTCTGTGTGTGTGTCTGTAATATACTGTAATTATACCACATAGATAAATGTGCTAATTTACCTATCACAAACAGCCTATATTGCACATATTTGTGCAGCGCATGTGCTGTCATCATACACAACGCATTTTCCTATGTTGGTCCCAGTATTTTCTACAGATCTGACGCAGGTGCTAATCAAAATAATAATACTGTAAACCTGTTAACATTGGCTCTGAACCTGACTGGAGTGGCTTCTTCTTGCTGTTTCCCCTCCCCCCCCTCAGACCTTTATATGCATTGGTAAAGATGAAAAAGATTATGCTTGTCCTACCCCAATGGCAATTTTTTTCCCCCATAGCAGCTAACACAAGCCAATACAAAAAGAAGAGATGGACTATTACAGTGTTTTTTTTCTTCATTTGAAGATCCCTAAATAATTTTGAATAGAGGTGCATGTGAACCCCTTTGAATTGTGTGTGTGGGATATTCACATACTTTTGTTTGATTATAGTCATCTTTCATGGACCCCTTAGACAGTCTGCAGACCCCCAGAGATCCATGAACTAATGCTGAAACCCCCTGGACTGTGGGATTTAGGGGATATGTATTTGGCCTCATAAATATTGCTTTGATGTTTTTCTACCCCAGGTATCAGCTGATCTTGAATATAATTAGGTCTCTCATACAACATGCCAACAATGCTTCCCTTTGTCTTTTATGCCAAACTGGGTGCGTCTATATGAGATCTTTTACTGCACCTTAGCCTAATATACTGTGCAGTATGGGTGCACATCTACACATGCACACCATTACTGCACAGTAAAAATGGCTAATCGTGACTACATTTGATATCCTGCAAATGCGGTTATCAAATTTAGGCTCAATTAGTTAAAACATAGTAATGTGTGTGTAGACACAACCTGGCACTAACTTTAGTGCCAAGTCTGCCCAGTCTCAGGGCTTCTGGCTGGGAGCTTTGACTGCTCCGAGGCTGGGCTGCTCTCTGACAGCCCCTAGCTGCAGGGTATAAAAGCCTGCGGCCATTTTGTGCCCTGGGGAACACCCCACAAGCAGCCCTGGAGAGCCTGTTTTCTGACCAGGAATGTTGCAGGCCCCGTGTGCCCCCCTGGACAGGACACAAGCAGCCTCTGCCAGTCCTGTCCCCTAGGCAGAGCTGCTGCTTGGCCACAGGTGAGTGTTACAAAGGGCTGCATCCTGCTCCACCCCCTGCCCAGCCCTGAGATTCCACCAGGGCTGCAGCCTGGCTGTCTCTGGCAGCAGGGCCAGCACCTTCTCCGTGCTGCTGCTCATCACCAGCAGTGTCTCCTGTGTTTGCAGGAGCTGTGGAACATTTGCCTCTGCTGCGTGGCTTCCAGTTCCTGACTGTGGCCTCTGCTGAGTGCTCCTGAGCACTGTCTAGGACCAGCCACACAGGGACAGCTGAGCAGGAGCCCAGAGACCTGGCATGGGACATGATGTCCTTGTCATCCTCCCCACCGAAGCCTGCATGTGCCTGCCTATCCCATCAACCCAAGCCCTCAAATGGACCTGGGAGGAGACTGGCAACCTTGTGGCACTCTGGGGTGATGCAGAGGTCCAGAGGCAGTTTGCGTGGGGTGAGCACTCAAACCCCCACATTTATAAGGCCCTGTTGCATGGCATGCAGGAGTGAGGGCACTCTCAGTCAGTGTGGCAGTGCCACATAAAGGTCAATGACTTGCGGGCACAGAGGGTGGCCATGACCAAACACAATTGTTGGTCCAGTCATGCCCCTAAGACCATGTCCTTCATGTGGCAGAAGACCTAGATTTTAGTGTCCCAGGACCCAGGCCACAACCCTGCAGTGGTCACCAGCCAGGGTGGCTTGCCTGAGCCATCACCCCTCCCTGATCCCTCCAGTGACATGTCACCAGAGGAGGGGTCCTTGGCTGCTCAGCACCCCGCTCCACCCTGGCTGCTGCACCCATAAGCAGCTCGAAGACCCCAGGCCAGCAGCTCTCTCAACGGCTCCGCAGTCCCAGACCCTGGCATGAGGAGTGGCCAGCCATGCCGCCACCAGCTGCCAGCAGTGCCAGCTCCTCCCCAGGGGGATCCTGGCCAGACGCCAGCTCTCTGGCCACCGTGGGCTGAGGACACCAGGTAGAGCCAGTTGCCATCACCAATGCAGATGCCTGTGTCAAGCTGCCAGCCTCACCAGCCCTGGATACATGATAAGTCCTGTACTGCAGAGAGGACCACCCCAGCCCTGGCACCAGCCCTTGCCTCCCTTCCCTGCCTTGCTTGTCCACATTTTCCTGGCCCAAGGTTTCCCCCACACAGCACACAGAGAGGCAGGACACAGTGCAAAACTTTATCGAGCAGCCGCTATCCCAGCAGCTGGGGGGCCACAGGCCTCTTGCACCCTGAGGAAGGCATCAGTGCCAGTGGTGATGTCTTCCTTGGCAGCAGGGGGCAGGGAAACATAGCACTACCATTAGTAGCCCTCCAGGTGGTGGTGGAAGTTGTGGGGAAGGCTGGTCTTGTCCCCCACACAATTGTAGCTCAGTGTCCTGAACCAGGAGCACAGGTGTGCCTAGGACTCCAGGAGGATCATTAACAGGGCATAGTGGGTCAGGCACACCTCAGCCTGCACAAACAGCTCACTGCACACTCTCTGGGGCACATGCATCAGGGACATACTCAGAGCATAGCAGCAGTGTGAGGGGGAGCTGGCCTTGGGATACCTCCTTGGAGTGCCCCCCAATGGGGAGGGTGGGGGTGTGGCCAGCCCCTCACTCCAGTTGTCCAGGAGCCCTGCGCAGTCCAAGCCTGGGCACTGTGAGCTGAGTGGCAATGCAACAGAGTAGTTGGCCTGCAGGGAGAAAGGAGGAGCAGTGGGGTCTAGAGCCATGGCAGCAGGTGCTGCCAGCACCCTGGCCTGGCCCTCCCTGGGGAGGGGGCAGGAGAAGCCAGCTGCCTGCAGCCAGCACTCAATGGTCTGCCAGCCACAGGGGAGCAAGCAGGGATGCAGGGCTCAGCTGGTGGCTGCCTGGGTCTGCCCATCCAGACTTATCATGGTCCCTGAGCACCTGTGCATACCCAATCCCCAATCTGAGGCTGAGCAGCTCATGGCTCTTGGTGTAAGCATCTTCTCTCTGAAATGTTGCAAGTACTTACAAAAGGCTTCTGACCCTTGCCTCCGCAGAGCCAACAGCTGAACAAGGGGGAGAGCCCACCAGGCCCAGCAGGGATGCGGCTTCCACCTCATCACAACCCAGTGCTGGAGCCCACCACACACACTGGCTGCACCAGTAGTGGGTGCACACTCGGACCCACCTGGTCCAGCAGCGGGTGGAGCTGGCTGAGAGGCAGGAGGCATGGGTGCTGGCCTGGTGAGTGGAGGATGTTGCCCATGGGGAAGCATTCTGGGCTGAGGTCCTGGAGCAGAAGCACCTGCAGGTTCTGCAAGAGCAGATTGCTGTGGGCCACCAGGCAGTGGAGGTCATGGATGATGACTGTCAGGTCCTGGACACCACTCTGGGCCTGGTGGTCACATCCGTGCTCCCCACTGCCTGGTCCCCATTCCTGGCCCTGCAGGCCTCCTGGTAGTTGGATCCCACCCCAAGTATTGCACCACCCACCTGGTCCCAGCCCCACTGCTTACCCCAAGGTCACACACCCGAAGACCTGGAGGTGATAGGTGTGGCACTGCAGGGGGACTCTGGGACTGCTCTCAGGCAGCTAGAGAGGGAGCCTCTGGCCCCAGAGCAGCACCAGCCACCATTGCCCGAGGATGAGCCTGCCACTTGCCATGCTCACCATGGCCCCCAAACCCACAGGACAATGGCTTATTGCTGAGATACAGGCCTTCTGTTGCAGGGCTGTGCCTCCTAGACACCCCTAACCCATGGCCCCCTACTTCAGGATTCAAACAGAGACTGAGACTGTTGTATATAGTTTTTGCTTTGGGAAGAGGGTTTTTAATTGTTGGCGGGTGGGGAGGGTGGTTAA